TCTTCATGTTTTTAGTCATAATTTGTGTTTTTTGTTTTTCTACTTTTAGTCCAGATACATCCCCCCCAAAAATTAATTGTTTTTGTTAATGTCCCTATTGAATTTATCGGATCCTCTGTAAAGACCATGTCATGCCCATATGTCTGTACGTACTTTATATTCTTTCCCTCTTATTTTGAGTCCTTTTATACAGTATCTGTTTTTCTGTCTAACTTGTTGTAATCATGTTTCAATAAATAGTACAAACAGTAAAGGAGACAATGGGCATCCTTGTCTTGTTCCTTTTTGTATTTTTGTATTTTTATATCTTGTGTAAGTGTGAGTGTTCTCATTGCACAAGCTCTCACCGCAGTGACAGAGGCACTTGAAAGAAAGCTGCCCACCCTTGTGACATCGTAAAGAGCCCACCCTGGCCTTAGGGTTTCAGGCCTGATATTTCAGACAGGGGATTTTAGAGCGGGACACCTTGACCAGGACAGTAGAGGTGGCAGCAATAAATGTATCCCCTTTCCTTCCTCTAGATCTACTACACTGGTTGCTCCATGAATCCTGCTAGATCTTTTGGTCCTGCTGTGATCATTGGTGACTTTGAAGACCACTGGGTAAGTAAAGGTCCAGAGAGTTTGTGCCTATAGTTTGCCATCTCAGGGCACTTCCTGATTGGGCCTTTGTGCTTCCTTTGGTGGCTCACTTCCTTTTCTGTCACTTTCTGACAGAATTTTGTGGGATTTATCATCTGTCACGTCCTGATGGCAGGTGGTCTAAGGCCGAACTGGTTCTGTGCTTTGGCCCTGTGGCTGTGTGGCACTTGGCAGTGTCCAGCAAGCCTCCGTCCAGTAGCCCTGTGCTTCCCTGTGCTCTGTTGCTTCCCTGGGCTCATCATTGCATGAATGGTGAGATTCTTGGGAAGCACTATTGCACTAAACAGAGATCCCCAGTACAAGGCAGAACATAAATAAATAAATAAACAAACAAACAAACGAACAAATGAACGAACGAACGAACGTTCTGACAGTGTGAAAAATGACCAAAAATACAGGAAGAAAAAGCTAGTACGATGTTGAGATTAGAGGAAAATCATTTGGACACTGGAAAAAAATCTGGCATGGTCAGTTCAAAACTCTGAACAAATGACCTCCCTGGGAACTCATGCCTCTCTATATACATTTTTGACCTCCACCAGTCACAGCCAGTATGGGCAGTGGCCAGGGGTAGTGGGAGATGTAATCTGGTGGCCTTTTGACCTCCACCAGTCACAGCCAGTATGAGCAGTGGCCAGGGGTGGTGGGAGATGTAGTCTGGTGGCCTAATTTGTCGTCGTCGTTGCTGCTGCTAAATGTCCCTTGAATCTAGAATGCCCTCATTCTCACAAACCAAGGAACATTGAGTGATCCCACCTCCCTCTAATCTGGTGGCCTAATTTGTTGTTGTTGTTGTTGTTGTTGCTGCTAAATATCCCTTGAATCTAGAATGTCCTGATTCTCACAAACCAAGGAACATTGACTGATCCCACCTCCCGTACACTGTTTCATATTGGTGAAAGCTCTTTTATGTCTGTTGCATGTGCATTTATTTGTCCAGCAATAGCCTGCCTTGAATGAGCTTAAAAGCTGAGTAGCTTGAAACACTCTAGAAAACAAAATGTTCCTTGTGACATATGAACAAAGTGTGGAGATAACATATTATACATACCATAGCTGCCTTGAATAGCTGCCTTGAATAGCTGCCTTAAACACTATTACAAATATAAATATAAAAACTGATGTAATGTGTGGAATAAAGTTATTCTATTGTTGTTGAATGCAATAATAACATTTCTGGTTACTTTTAAAATGCTTTTTAGAGCAATTTTACATCATTTTACAGGTATGTTTTTACAGGTATGTTGTCGACTTTTTTGTCATTCTCTCATCAGTCTATGAGAGTTTTTTAAAGCAATGAAAAGTAACAAAAACTATTAATTATTGCAACAACAACCCAAGTTACCCATGAGCAATGGCAGTGAATTACTTTTGAAGAACTATAACAAGTAATGGGAATGAATTACTATTAAAAGTAACTTTACAAGCTGTGCATGGAATACCTCAAAAGGAACTCCTCCCCCTCCTTTTTTCTCCCCTCATATCCCCCTTTACCTTCTGTACCCTTAACCTTATCCCAAGTTGTTATTTTTTTTAAAAAAGGAGCCAGAACCATATATTGATTAGAGTGCTTATCCCAAGTTGTTAATTTTTTTAAAAAAAGGAACCAGAACCATATATTGATTAGAGTTTTGGTTTTGAATTAGGAGAGCTGGGTGTGAAGTGAGACTTGGGCATGGAACTCACTATGTGACCTTAAAACAGGCAAAGTGTCCCAGCCAGAGGTACCTCTCAGAGTTGCTGTGAGGATAATGTGGGGAGGAGAGCACCTCCAGCCTTTTTCAGGAAAGAGGAGATACTGTATAAATGTAACAAGCAAGCAAATAAAATGCCTTGCCAGTTGTGAGAAAGTAGGCTGTGTGGTACATATTAAACCTTCATGTAGGCCTAGCATCAGCTAGTACAGTGGTTCTTAACCTTGGGTTACTCAGGTGTTTTTGAACTGCAACTCCCAGAAACCCCAGCCAGCACAGCTGGTGGTGAAGGCTTCTGGGAGTTGCAGTCAAAAAACACCTGAGTAACCCAAGGTTAAGAACCACTGAGCTAGTAGTATCTTTGGGCAACTGTCAGGGTCCTAGTTCTGTCTGCATCAACACCCTGTTCCTCTTCTGATGAGCACTGGGAAACTACCACTAAGTGATTGTACATTGCTCTATGGCACTGGTTCCCAACCCTGGGTCCCCAGATACTCTTGAACTAAGACTCCCAGAAGCTTTTACCACTAGCTGTGCTGGCCAGGAATTCTGGGAGTTGCGGTCCAAGAACACCTGGGAACCACAGGGGCAGGATCTGTTCTTGATTATCCCAGAGTGGAAGACATGTAATAGTGGACTCAAGTTACAGGAGACAGACTTCAGTTGAGTATCAGGACAAACTTCCTAACTGTTAGAGGAATATGACAATTGAATTAATTACCTCAGGAGGAGGTGAGCACTCCAATGCTGGAGGCATTTCAGAGAACATTTCACAAGCATCTTGTCAGGTATACTTCGATTTAGATTTCTGTCTTGAACAGGGGGTTTGGACTCGATGGCCTTACAGGCCACTTCCAGCTCCATGGTTCTATGATGCTGAGAGTCTAAGAGGTGTAAATGGTTTACTCTTTGTGAGTTGGCAGTAGATTATAAGCCCACTCTGGTTTTTGTTAACAGCTATGTGAACATTTTGGATTCTGATTTGAGCCAGTTTCAGGACAGTTTCAGACTGGAATCTGGGACTGAGTTATTTTTGTTGTCTGTGTTTGAAGACGACTTAACATTTATGTTTAATGAGGTGAAAGAATAGAGGAAGCAAAACCTCTTTGGCAGAGATCCACAAATTCTTAAACTTCCCATTGGGGGACAAACCAGAGACATCTTAGATACAGTACATGTTTTGTTAGCCTATGGGGTTGGTAATAATACAGTTGTTAGGTTAAAATTAAGGACAAAGATGAGGCATTGTTTGCTTTCTTGAGAAATCTGTTGGATGTATTCGGGCTTTGTGGAGACTAACAAAGGAACAATTATACTCAAGCTAAGCTGTTTGTTTCTGCTGCAGGTTTACTTTACTGTCCATGTTCATAAATTCACCTTCCTTCCAGATCTGCGGATCTCCATTTGAAATGATTTTCTAAAATCAGTCTTGTTTTCCTGCAAAAAAAGGACAATTTTAGGCCATTCATCTTTCACAGAACACGCTGCATGTTGGCTTGCCTGCCCAAGGGCCTCCTGTCCTTTTTCTACCAGACCTTCCATCATTTCACAGGTTTCTCAAGCATGGCAGGAATGGTAGACCTGCTACCCTCCAGATTCTGAGTTACAACTTTTACAATCTGTGACTGTAGATCAGCGTGGTTGGAGCTGATAGTACTCAAAATCCAACAGTAATTGAAGGTTTTTTTAAAATCACAATATGATTTAGTAGTTGCAAGCTACTAGAAGCTGTCTAGACAACCATATAGATCAATATATGGGTTGGTATTTGAACTGTTTGGCTCGAACCAAATTAGAGCACCCACATGTGTTTCTACTTAAATCTATCCATCCTGCACCTTTAATAACTGTCCTGCTCCTTTCTGGTATAGCCTTTTCAAAAAAATATTTTCCTAACTGATACAGCACAATTTTGACACCATGCTAAGTTGATGGATTGTTCTTTTGTTATACCACTTACTTTAATTAATGACAACAACAAAAGACACTGTACCCAGCTGAAGGAGAGCTGTGAGAAAAGGCAAGGAAGGGGGCTGTGTCAATTCCATGGGCTCCGCCCCACACAAGGTCCTGCATCCCAGCAGAGCTGGGGCTGAGGAGAAAGATGGAAGAAAAGGTGCTTCCCTCCCTTCTGTCTCACCAACCTTCACCTCAACATTTTCCCCTCACACCACTACTGCCACTACAAGCTTCCCCCACCACTGCTGCCTCCTTATTCATAAGTAAATCAGTTAGACTTGCTCATGAGTAAATTGGTGATCCAGATATTTGTATTGACTGTTCTCATGGGAGAATAAACATTTCCAGTGTGAATAGAAGGATCGGTTAAGTGAGAAAGAAAAAAATAGATTGTACTGAAGATGAGAACCTTTTAAATGTGAACTACACATTTCTAAATTCCCCCATCTGGACAGGCCCATAGTCACCTGTAAGGATTATTTTATAGATAAAGAGCAATGTAAGTAATACATCAAGCAATGCATGCAGGAATCCATACTCTGTCTTAACCGTAGCTTATTGTCCACAATACAAGTTGCACATCAGGACAATCACGTGCTAAAGCATACCCATTTCTTTCAGAACAACCCATAGTTTCTCATGATCCACACAGAAGCTTTGCTGTAGTTTATAAAACTTAGCCTGATCTTCTTCTGAAACTACGTGGTGCTCTCCAGCAGCCAGTGGATATGCAATGGAAGTGCCTCTTCCTAGTTTCAACAAGTTTAAAACCATATTTCACCAGAGATGGGATAATTTCTGCCTGCATTACTTGAAAGTAAGGGAAATGCATAGTGGATGGATGATGGGATGTGATGATCCCATACGGAAACATTCTGAGTTGCAAATCATTTTGAATTTTGCAACATTACTGTTCAGACGTTTGATGTTCTGTATCCTGAGACTGTGAAGTACTTTTCCATGTTTTTTTTAATAGATAAGTTTTTCAGAAATATAGAAGCCTGAAGCCTTCAATGAGAAAGCAGCTTCACTGGAAACCATTAAAAGATAGGCAGAGACTGGGACAAGAAGAAGGAAGGAAAAAGGGGGACTTTGGCTAGAATACAATTTGCATGACATCCAATATGAATGGTGAACTCCTGAATCCATCCACAGCCCCTGTATAAGCACTGATTTTGATTTCAGATGTAATACAGGATGTGGATCCCAGCCAAGCAAATTGGAATGACTCAGCTTTCCAATGTAGTCACACCCTTACACCCACCCACCTAAATTAGCATATGTATTTTTATTAAAAACCTGTATTCTGTTTTACTCTCTTCTTTGGCAACTTGTCAATGGCCATTCTAAGAGGTAGTTTAGGGTGGAAAAAAAATGCAGGCCAGAGGAAGGAGAGACAATGAAAACTGTGGTGCATATTTGGGGAGGTGCGGGTGTGTGAGAGTTCAACAGTTGCACTCATGGCATCCCCATAATACACAAGGAGCTACCATCAACCACAACAGTCCATCCCTACCTATCAACAGATCAAAATCTTATAGCAGGATTATTTGAGAAATCTGCCTGTTGATGTTTTGGAAGCAGTTTTATGCCGGCAACCCAGTGTGTCTCACTCCTTCCTCTCCCACCTCAGGTCTTCTGGCTGGGCCCAATGGCTGGAGCACTGGTGGCTTCTTTGCTCTACAACTACGCTCTCTTCCCCCACACAAAGACCCTCTCTGAGAGGCTCGCCATCTTCAAAGGCTATGAACCGGAGGAAGACTGGGAAGAGCGCGAAGTCCGACGGAGGCAATCCATGGAGCTACACTCCCCACAGACCCTTCCTCGGGGGGCAATGGAGAAAGTCTAAGCCAAGGACCAGTTTTTTAAAAAAAGAGGCAACAGCCAGTCGCTTTCTCTGACATTTACTTGCACGTCCAACATGTAGTCATACCTGTTGCGAAGGCACAGTGCACATCTAGCCTCTGACTGAGAGCAGTATGTTGTATGTTCATGATGGACACTCTTGGAGCTTAACCTTTTAGCACAGGTTGTAATACAGTAGATGGATCTGTAGCTCTGAAAGACCACCCACACCCACATAAAAGTTTAAGCTTTCTTTACAAACCAACAGAACCATTGCATGGTGCATCCTGACTCATGAGTTCAGTGAGCATAATTGTTAACTCTGTCTAGTTCTCCAGATATCCTCTAGCATTCGGGTCGGAGAACTAAACTAGTTGATCCGAAGAATTACCAGTCTATATAAACCAAATATTGGCCAGTTCCTTTCAGGAAACCGCAAGTACGACTTTGGAGAGCAAAATCCTGGCACTGGGAATGATGGCTGAGAAAATTCTGAAAACACCAACATTGTATTTGGGTCCCAGCCCCTTACAAAGAAGAGAGTCACATTTTATTCAAGCCTGAATGAACTGAATAAGGACAAAGCTGCACAGAATAAAGTAAGGCTATGTAAGCAAGCTTAGGAGTGTGGCCAATCTCACAGACTTGGGAAGCAATATTTCTTGGTAACTAGACGTGTACCATTATTCAAATGTATGCAAATATATTAAGCTAGTATAGCCTGCTGGAGCATGAGCAACATTTATAGCTAATTAGGATAAGCTGGCATCTACTGACGCTCAGTGTTTTCCCGAGATTTTTAAAGAACCCTTGAGTTTCCCTTTGCATCCCAGAGTTAATTACTTCTTTTTTTGCTTTCTTAAACTCCAGCCTCATTGATGTAATCAAACAATCCGATTTTTGCAAACACAAAAGAAAACGTCTTGTCCTGTCTAGCTACTGCATCAGCTTCATTGTACTCCTGCAGGTTTGATTTAAGCTCCTGTGTGCACATATTAAATGATATGACTTTCAGACAAGTTTTTGATTCCTGTACAAGCTTTTTATCACCATTAAGGACAGCTGTTTTTACAAAGCTCAAATGACATTGAGGAGCAATGTGTGGGTTTTTTCAGCTTCAGCAGGATGTCTGTGAAGGGGTGGTTGTCTGTTTGTGAATGCATCTGTGTGTTTTGTCCTTAAAATGCATTTAATAAACTTTACTTCCCTCTGCCATTCATGTAGAATCTATTATACAAATGTGAACTTTATTCTTATAATTTGGGAATATATAGCTCACTGGGTAGCTCAGCGGTTTAGGTATCTGGCAGAACCAAAGGCTGGAGTTCGATTCCCTACAATGCCTCCTGTGAAGTAGAGTCAGCCTGTGTGGCCTTGGGCAAACTGCACAGTCCCAGGATATCCCTAGAAGAAAATGGTAGACCACTTCTGCATATTTTCTACTTAGGAAACCCTGAAAAGGGTCACCATAACTCAGAATTGATTCAATGGCACCCTATTATTATTCCTATGACTATCATCTCCCTTTCCTTTCTCAATTTCTTTTGCTATATATTCTACTTTCTGTAGTTTATCTTCATTTTTGCAGGCTCATATACAGTACATATCCTAAGACACTTGTCAAAGAAACCTGAAGCTCTAAAGCATTAAACTGAAATGACTGGTAACACATGCTTCTATGCTGCCCATTTTCTTTGGTAGGAGGACTTTTTTTTAAAAACAGTCATTTAGAATGAGAATCCAAAGTATTTCATTTCTATATTTTCCCATATCTAATTCTTCCCAGTAGAATTGACACTGGAAGCTTCTATAACAAATCCATGTCTGTGGTGCCACCTGATTTGCCACTGCAGTTTTTGACACAGTACTGTATCAATTTTGCTGAATGTTTTTTCTGAGCCTGACTGCACAGGAAAAAAGGCAGGAAATACTACCGGTTGTTGGCATGCTTATTCGGGGCCTTATTTGTTGATCACATGAAATAATGGGAAATGGGAATCAGCCCAGAGTCCCACAGCTCCAATCTGTAGTTTTTCCTTCCCACCAGAGAGACCTTTCTACTTTTAAAAAGTTGAATCCTTTCACTTTGGTTCAAACCTGATGCAGCAAGGAAAGACCAACTAAACACAAACAGACACAGAGCACCAGCACTCACCTCTCTCTACAAAGCCTCTGTCCCAAGAAACCACTTCTTTTTTCTTTTTAACAGCTTCTCTTGGATCTATCTATCTATCTATCTATCTATCTATCTATCTATCTATCTATCTATCTATCTATCTATCTATCTATCTATCTATCTGTCTGTCTGTCTGTCTGTCTGTCTGTCTGTCTGTCTGTCTGTCTGTCTGTCTGTCTGTCTGTCTGTCTGTCTGTCTGTCTGTCTGTCTGTCTGTCTGTCTGTCTGTCTGTCTGTCTGTCTGTCTGTCTGTCTGTCTATCTATCTATCTATCTATCTATCTAATAGTTTAAGAAGCACTCCCGTTGGCAAGATAAGATGAGGAACTGGTAAAAAGAAAAGCCTTTTTAGGGCAGTTCCTTTTAACCACAGCATCTACAAGTGCTTCAAATAGAACTGCAAAACCAAGGCTCTTTCTGAAAAAAAAAATTGTACAGCCACTTCTATCAAAGAAAATCAAATCCCCCAGCTGGACTGCAAGTGAATTTCCATTTCCCTGACTGTGGAGTCATACCTTAAGAACCCACATCAATTCCACTATAACCCTGGAGCTGCTTTCCTGGAGTTGCTGGAGTGGGAGGGGAATACTAAGGGTGGAACTGTACTGAAGAACCAAATTAGAATGATTTGATTTGCAGCCTGTACTAGTACTGAAATCACACTCGTGCTCACACAGAGGCTGTGAACTGATTTAGTTCACTCTTTATACTGGATACTATGCAAGCCCACAGCCTCTTCTTCCTTCCTTCCTTCCTCTGGTCCTGCCTCTGCTGATCCTTCAATAGTTTGCAGTGAAGCTGCTTTCTTATTCAAAGCTTCAGACTACTATATTTTTCAAAATATTTTCTCTATAAAAATAACATAGAAAGGTACTTACCATTCTAATAGTACAGAACATCAGAAGTTTAAACAGTAATTTTGCAAAATATATCATACAGTAATTCACTTATCAGAATGATTCCATAACAGGGATCACCACCGCCTTCCTCTTTTCATCTGGCTTGAAAAAGTGGAAAACCCCAATGGCAGAGAAAAAACCACTTTGAGCAAATTTGATTCAGCCTTGAGTTCACCCATTATATGATCAGAGCAAATCCTGTGGGTTCTGACTATCTAGTTTCACTATATCAGTGCAGAACCAGCATGGTTGGGATTCGAGATGGGCATGAACTGCCAGTTTAGACAAGCAGTTGTTTGGTGCTTCTCAGCTCTGCTTCCTCTGGTAGGCACTTAGTCAGAGGCAGTGCCCCAGCTTCCTCCAGGGGCTGCCTCTGAGTGGGCACCCTTCGGAGGAGGCAGGGCTGGGAAAACAACAAATACCTGTTTGTCTAAAGGACTAACTGATAGATCATGCCCATCTCTAGTTGGGTTATATACTTTTTGCCCAGGCTGGTCCTATTATTAAACAGAGTGGGGTGATTGATTCAGAAGTAAACTAAAAACATAGTCCTAATGCACAGTAATTAAAAATGTCCCCAAATTTTAACTCTTGGCCGTTTATAGTTTTCTCTCACTTTCTATGAGCAAGCAAGCAAGTAAACAAACAAACAAGAACATTTCCATCAAAAGCAATTGAATTGTTCTATGCGATTTCAGGGGGCAAAACATGATGCATGGAGGTGCTCTGATGCCATCAGAGTGGCACATATAAAAGGCCTTAGTTAAAGAACACTGGAATTTGGCAGACTCCTCTATATGGGCTGCATTTCATCACGTAAATTTAATTTCATAAAGTAAATACTGAATGTGTTGCATACACATTGACTTTCCAGTACCAAAGATAAACTTGGAGAATAATTGTATTCCCCCCTGGCCATGTGACTAAGGCCACAGAGGGCAGTGGGCTCACAAATGTGCATGTGTGTTGATGCACATTACGTTGAGTATATTCCTAGGATCAGAAAAGACCCTACTATACAAGCAGTGAAAGATTTTTAATAGTGTCTCTGTGCATGCAAATCCTCAGCTTGGGTGTAGTGAAGAAAAAAGGAAGGTAATTAGTTGGGTGGTTTGACTGATTAATCATAGAATTGGGTACAAAGCTGTTCAAAGCACCACTGAAAAGGATTGAGATTTGATTCTCCTTTCAGTTTTCCAGAACAGCCTGGGATGGCCTGTGCTAGCTCAATGACACACCCACCCACCCATGGGGATTGGGCCGGCGCAGGGCAAAGGGTGTGGGGCTGCTTGCCAGCGGACCTGAGGAACAGGGTTTTCAGTCTGGTCTGCCAGCACAGTTAAAAAAGAAAGGCAAGCCAAGGTAGTTTCTCCTTCCCACCAGAGAGACCCTTCTACTTTTTAAAAAGTTGAATCCTTTCACTTTGGTTCAAACCTGAGTGGTCTTAACCGACCAGATAGGTCGGATATAAATAAATAAATAAATAAATAAATAAATAAATAAATAAATAAATAAATAAATAAATAAATAAATAAATACCAACTAAACACAAACACCGATGAGGTGGATCCAACCCAATGCTTGGGCAGGACGAGTAAATAAATAAATAAATAAATACCAACTAAACACAAACACCGATGAGGTGGATCCAACCCAATGCTTGGCCAGGACAAGTGCTGCTGTGATCAATGAAGTTTTGACCTCTTTCTCTCCAGTTATGTTGTGTGTGTCAGTTAATTCTGTTACTTAAGGACCAGCCAGCTTAGCAGTAGGCCACCAACAATCCTTTTTTTCCCTTTGGTGCAAGTAGAATCCCAAAGAAGCCTCCATTCAGGTGAGCAGTGATGAAACACTTGTGGAACAAGATCCCACCTGTTTCTCTGAACAGGTTTGCACACTGAAAATCTCACTCAGCCTTGGTTTTCAGAAGGCAGTGGTGTGATTTCCCTTAATAGGTAAATGCAGCAAAACTGACCAACTGCAACATGCAAAGAGCCACACAAACGAAGGTGAAACTCTAGCTTCAGCAAAAAGAGAAGCTCTTTGTGGCCTTCAAACAGCAAGAGGCTAGGAGATAGCAGGTTCTGTTCCTGACTCTGCTTCACAACCTTGGCTAAATCCTGTTTTTGAACTGCTATGCCATTAGATTAGGAGTAGGTTGGGGATGTGATGATTGTGTGATGTACCAATGCCACTGAAAACTGACCTGGCCCATCTTTGTGATGTGAGAGCTGAGGAGGCACTGCGGTGCCTATCAATGCACAGTTGTGTCAGGACCAGACCTGCCTCCCTCACAAGGCATTTCATTCCACTCTGTAGCCAGCAGGTCCATTAGCACGCCATCTGTAATGAGATAGCAATCGCCTCCTAGATGTCCGAGGCAAAGCTTTTTGCTGCTCGGCAGCTGATTTGTCCAACTTGCAAGGGCACGGCTGGTGTGGAGCCAGAAGGGGACACCTGTGGAATCAGATTTTCTAGGAGCTCCGAAGACTCTGCTGAGGAAAACATGTTTTGCAAGAGTTGTGCAGCATCCGTTTTCCAACTGGCTTCTCATACCTGTGCCTTTCATAGCTCTCTGCTGTCCATATTTCGGTAGGCCATGCTTTTAGGGAGATAAAATTACCTTGCCAGCCAGTAAGACCTTTCAGAAAGGAAGTCAAGTAAGTCTGTCACTTACTTCGTTACCAAGACACTTGTGACATCCTTAATAAAAGAAGGTTTATGGCCACATAAGTTTTGAGGAACTAGAGGCCTCTGCATAGAATCTTCAAAGACTGCCAGAGAAATTGTACCCAGGGATGGGCAGCCTATTGCCAGTGGGAGTCAATTTCCCATTATAGTAAACTGATAATTATAGTAATATTGACAAGCATGCTGTCCTATTTCATTATTAAGGCACCTGTGTGTTTAGGTGCCTACCTTGAAGGTCAAGCCACTTCCCAAACTTGCCAGGCAAAGGCAATTTGTTGCTTTTGCAGGGAGGTTTTTCCATCTGCAAAAACTACAAAGCGAGAGGTGTGTCACCTTCCAATTCTCTTTCTAACCTGTGGGTGAAATGGAGTCCATCGGCTGAGATCCCACATGGTCAGACCTGTTTTCCAGCCTGGTGATGATGACCTTTTCTCAAATGCCTTC